TCTTAATTTGAAAGACCTTATATAGCAAGTCTAAAATACACTTTATTTGCAAGACTTTCGCTTGGTGACAACTTCAGGATTTCTAAACATGGACAATTCAAAAAATTCATAAAAAATTAGAATATCGCGCTCAAAGATCTAGAAAAACACTCATTTTCAATGTGTATGGTTGAAGTCGATTAACAAATGGCAATGTATTAAAATTGATTAACGCACAATAAAAGAATGGAAAAGATTCACAGGTAGCATAGAATTATAACAAATTATTCTCATGGGAAAAAAAAGTCGGATTTATAATGATTTTCTCCGTTTTCTTTTACGTAAGAGAAATCTCTATTTAGTTGTATTTCATCTCATCGTGCTTAAATCAGTACAACAATAAGAAAAAATCAATCAAAATTGGATTGAAACTAATTATATGAGCATTTTCATCGTTACTATCGTGAAATAAAATCCAAATTATAATCGATTATCATTTGCATTTTGTTGTAGAATAATCGAAGTATCGATTTCGATTAGGTTCATACGATTTTGAAATTTTTATCAATTTTAATCATTAACATTTTTTGGTGGTCATATATTAATTTCTTCTTAATAACTTAGCATTGTTAAGCCAATCGTTGAAATTATTTATATATGCAAGCGCAACTTGTCGTTATTAGACATGACTGGTACAATTCTGATGCCTGTTGTATTGAAATCAGACCTAGGGCTGAGGTCGAACCGCTTTCCGAGGTGGGATAGGATCTAGCTTTAGACTAAAAAAGAATGAACAGTGTCTCTTAGCTATAGTCTACTTCCGTCTAGACATGAGCAGTGTGGTTCTGGATGCGATCCTAGCTTTGTTCCCAACGAGACAGACCCAAAACTGAAGCTAGAGCATGCTGTCCATGTCTAGCAACGACCCATAAAGCTTGTATCAATAAATAATGATAACCATTGACTTAACTATGCATAGTTATCAAGAAAAAAATGATATAAATTTATATGACTAGATACAGGTTATTATGCTCATCATGAATATTGCATCTATTTTGTTTTAGCAGTGTGCTATGGCAATGAAACCGCTACAAATGTACATTTTCTATTAACAAACTGTCCAAAATTAGTAGATGTAAGCCTCACTTCGCACCTAACATATCCGGTTGTAGAGAAAAAAAAGGAGCACAACAGATATAAAATCCAGCTTGGGGTCTACTGATTCTAAAACACAGCCAGAGATAAATTGTTGGATTTCAACTGATCAAAAGGACCTCTTTGGCTCATCTTGGCTTTATAAAACTTGAATTGCTAGGCATTATATTATATCAATGTAGCTTATTTTGTTCAACTTCTATTTATCTATTATTTCATATATAATATGAAAATTTTCAATGATCTGTTGAAACACAAGCGGATACATCTTTTATAAGGTTTTTTTTCTTGTTTTTCCTAAAAAGGTACGATAGTGCTACAAGTTAGTTTGGCTAACTTTTCAAAGGAAAAGGTATTATTACCTAAAATTTTGAGGTTGGTGATTTTAGACATTCATGCTTTGAATCAGCAAAAAAACTTTTTTTAAAAGTATGTATTGAGTGTTTCGTGTACACAATCCCGTCATGAACTATCTCTTCAAGAACTGTCTCATTCATCAACAATAGAACTCAGTTGAAAAGAGAGTGCTCATATTGTGCGGCATTGAATAATCTACGAATAGGAAAACTCTGTATGTTTCCATGATTAACGACAAGAAGTATAAACGAGAAGTGTGTACTTGAATAGATTTGGCAACGAAAGTTTTGAATATTGTCGTCTTCCACTAACTGCGCTCTAACAGAAAATGTTTTACGGAATGTAAAGGTGTTGCGTATCGAAACTCTTGCAGACTACTGAAATAAAGGTTTTGCAAGATGGTTTCGTACCAACGCTTACGTCTTTACTAGGAGACATATCCACTTGCTCCGAAAACACTATTCTTATGTTCTTAGAGGTATGAATGCTTTCCATTTGTTAAGCCATATCTACACACGCCCGCACCCACACTCTCACTATATGGTAACACCTATGGCCTTATCAGCATATTGTTATGACTGAATTCTCAGATCTCTACTTATATACTGAACAGTTTTTACACGTTTACTGAACGTTCCATAGAAAAGTATATGCTAGTTACAAAAATCGAATTATATCTGCATATAAGCGTGGATGAATTCAGTGAAACGTCAAAATACAAGTAAAACGTTTATTTAAGCTAGCATAGAAATCTCGAGGAGCCGTTTTCATGTGGTTCAAAGTGGGCTCGTGCAACTTGAACTGTAGTAGTGAATCTATATTTTCTATTATTTTTGGTCAAATACATACTTCAAAACATTAAAATGCCGAAGCACTGTTTAATAATGTAACAGAATACAGAGGCACAATGACTCTATGTCCCAAACACCTTGAATTCGTAAACTTAAGTCTAATGACTTCAACTGACACTAATGCTTAGCTACGGTAGCAGTTAATGATAGTGATGAATAACCGAATGCATTATTCTTATAATGAATTATCGATTTATTTAGTTTATCAGAAACTATTTTCATCCGTCTCCTGCC